ACATAAGCAAAAAGAAAAAAGCCGGAAGTGGCACTGTGTCTCAAGTGGTAGAGTGCTAGCCTTGAGCTGAAGAGCTGAGGGACAGCACCCAGGCCCAGAGCTCAGGCCCTACGACTGGAACAAAAAAAAAAAAAAAAAGAAGGTCCCAGAAATATGATTTTTAAAAAGCCAATATAAAGGAAAGATAACATTTATACTTTGGCCAAAAAAATCAAACTGATGGAGTTTTGCAAACATCCAGATTTGAGGGGAAATAGTGGTAGAAATTAAAACCAAAAACTTGCAAATAATGGAGATAAATTTTCTTTTTCCACCACAGCATGAGAAAACAGCCCAAAGAAAGGCCAGCACCTGAGGAATTGATGGTGAGTAAGTTTGTTTAGTTACCTTTAGGATCTCCATTTATGTTTTTAACATTTTGTTAAAAAGACCAGTATGATTTGTATGTGCATTAGGACATCAGACATAGGTGTTTTTATTATGTAAACTTTGGTATATTTATAGATTGTATGATCCAATGACTGTTATAAGTAAAATCATTTTTAAACTTTTTTTACCCTAAACATTATTATTACTATCTTTAAGTAGTTACACAGATCAGATACAGTAGTTATACATGTCAGTTCATGAGAAAAATGCATCTTGATGGGGTACTGGGGCTTGAACTCAGGACCTCACACTCTCACTTGGCTTTTTTAACTAGGCTGACATTCTACCACTTAAGCCACAGCTCAACTTCCCAGTATGAACTCTTCAAAATCCACAGGTTCTGAAAAGGCAGCATTATTTACTTCATTCAGGCTAATGGTTTTGAAAGTAAAACTCAGATTATAATGTTTCTTTTTGAAAACCCCACCAGCATACTGAAAATTAATGCAAAACTCTTCATTTGCATTGCTCCAAGTCACAAAATCAATGTAGGCCACTCTTCACCTGCATTTTGCTCCACTGCTTTCAGAAGACAGACGTCTCGTAACAGAGAATATGTTACGTTTTTGGTTCAGTTCTGTTGGAAACTTTAAATGTGGCATGGAGTCCTGTCTGACTCATGCAGAATGAAATTAGACTGGCTGCAAAAGATCAAGTTAATGTGAATCTTTGCTCTTGCTTCAGAAAGAGACCCTGCAAGGCAGCTGGTGCTGTGTTCTCAGCTCCAAAGCAGCTTTCTTTGATTGCAAATGACAGTTTTGTTTCATTGTTGTTGTTTTTAACTCAATCAGGGAGAGAAACAGAGATGCTCCAGAACAAATCCCAAATGGTCATTTATTTAGTACAGATTGTAGATTTGACAATGCATGAACTATTAGAATGAGTTAAGATGGAGCATTAGTGAATAATAATTAAATAATTAGTACATTATTTAACTTACAGTTTTGTTAATAACTAAATAATAGTAAATAAATAATTAAGGTCTAGGCTTTCCAATTTAAATTATTGTAGTCAGAGCAAATCCTGGCTGGCTTTCTTTAAATAAACAACAAGTGCTTTACATATATTGGTTCAGAGGTTTCCATTCTTGATATTTCATCCCAGTAAACACTCTAAGCACCCAACCTTGTGCACAATACAAATTTCCCTTTTGTGTCACAAGTTCCTTTCAGATGAGCATTTCCTTTGCCTTCATGCTATACCTTTAGAGCACAATCTTAGTTTTCTAAGTAATTTCAAGTTAAAGTTCACCCTTGAAACCTCTCCAGTTTATAACTACATAGATTTCACATCTAGAATAAACGTGTGGGCTTAGTAGCACCGGAGTCATTTGTTTACTGTTTGGTTTCTTTAATAGCTAAGAAATTCTTGCAGTTAGTCACATTTGAGAAAACTTAGAACAGGTTCTAGAAATGGAGCCCTGTTTACCTTTTGCATTATTGTGCTATGGCTGGATAGCTCAGCTATTTAAAACAAAGGAATAGAGTTTCATAAAACAGATATCTGTTTGGAAATTCATGTTTCAGTGCTGCAATGAATTGGTCACTTATAAATAAAACATCTTCAAATCATGCATATACCATAAATGTTTGTGGAATGTGATGGGAGGGAGGAAAAGGGGTGGTAAGGAACACCTCTCCAGAGTGACAAGTCATAAAGACTAAAGATATGAGGACTAAAGAGTAGTTACGATTACATGAGCAAGGTAATACATTTCTTTCTTTTTTTTTTTTGGTAATACATTTCTTATCAAGCATTGTTGCCTCCTCCCTTGTTTCCTCTTCTCTTCTCTCCCCTCTGCCCCCCCCAAAGTTGCAAAGTTCATTTTCCACATAGCATCTTGTACATTTCCCACCGTATACTTAATCTGTTATTATCTCTAGTACTACTCACTGTTTGCTTTTGAATGAATTTATTCCCAGAGGTATATCAAAGCTGAAGCAAGGCACCCTTATTTGCTGAGGGCTGCATGAGGAGACAGGAAACAATGGGTGTGGGGAGCTGCTATAGTCAAGACCTGCTGTTGGCCAAAAGATTGGACTCCATAGGACATGGGAAAGAAAGTGGATTCTCTCTTGCCTTGAACCTGAGTTATATCCTAAGGACCTCGTCTTAAGGAACCTGTTTTGGTTTTTGGTTTTTTTAATTCCTCCCAGCATATTAATGGCTTTAATTTTTCCTTTTCCCTCTCTGCCTGCAACCTATTTGATGGTGCTCCCATCTGGAAGCTGAGAGCCTCTGGAATGCATGAACTGTAGAGCCCATTTGTCACTGTGGGTGGGGGCTTGTGCCTTTCGCAAAAGGAGCAGTTTATCTCCCAAGCGCCGCATCTCTAGCCAGCAGGGTACCAACGTGGGCAGCACAGCTTGGGCTATATCAGCTGTGAGGACTTCAGAATTGTCAGGGTTTCCCTGTGGGTTTGCATTTTCCAAGCTGAAGGAAGAAAATGAGACTGAATCTGGTAGAAACACTGAGAGTTATAGATTCACCATTTGGAAACTCTGAAATGAACTTCTGGTATGGCCTTGAGTGATGAACACAACATGCCCCCGCCAAATCAGAATTCAGGATGGGCAGGTCATCCTGACCCCTGGGGTCTGGACCATGCACATAGCAGACATTCAGATTGTCTTGTCTTTGGTGGGAGTCACTATACGCATCCAGATACCCAACATCAAGCCTTAGAGTCATTGTTCCTGTGGTTTTGAAGATGAAATGTTAAACTTGACATAATCCCCAGTGCTAGAATGTGATACTTTATGCATTCCCTCTACTTAGTGTGTTTGTTCTTTATTTGCTATTAGCTGTTATGTCAAAGTGGAAATGTTATAAATTTGGACCAAGACATTCCCTTACCAGTCACACTTTTGAGGAGGCTAAGGTCCTTATGACTTAGTGGTTTTCTGGTATGCAACCATTAAGCTACATGAAGAACTCATTGTCAACATCTTCATCATTGTGTTGTTTCTTTTTGTGCTTGTACAAGGACTGGAACTCAGGGTCTCAACCTCACTTGACTTTTCTGCTCTAACCTGGTGCTCTATCACTTGAGCCACATCTCCACTTCCAGCTTTTTGTGGATAATGGGAGATAAGAGTCTCAAGGACTTTTCTGTCTAAGCTAGCTATGAATCTTGATCCTTAGATTTCACTCACCTAAATAGCTAGGATTACAGGCATGTTTCAATCCTCTTAAGAGATCTTAGGATCAGGGAAATGATTGAATTTATAGAACACTATGTGTGAAGTCCTATGTAGACCCAGGAGAAGATGCGAAGAATAAGCTACATAGGAATAGTCTTACAGGGAATATGTCATAACACACAAACAGCTAGAATGAAACAATTGTTATAAAGGAGTACAAGCCAGGCTTATGTCTGTCATCAATCCTAGCTACTTAGGAAGCTGAAATCTAAGAATCCATTATTCAAAACTACACTGGGCAGGAAAATCCAGAAGACTCTTATCTCTAATTTACTATCAAAAAGCCACAAGTGGAGCTGCTAAACTTGAGTGAAAATGCTAAGGGATAGCGCCCAGTCCTTGAGTTCACGTCCCAGTACTGCACACCTCTCCCCTCCCTGCATCCCACTCAGTAAAAAGGAGGAGCAGAGTTCTATGGGAATCCATCTGGAAGTTAGGGGGAAGTCATGTACAGCAGGAAGCAATTAAAAATGCCCTTAAAAGACAAATTGGATTTTAATAGAAACTTTTCTAGGAACCATTTTGTGTATAGGAAGCAGGATGGACAAAGTATGAGTAGACACTAGACCTTTTCAGAGTGGCCTCTAGTGCCTGTTGGAGCAGAGGCCCACTGATCCAGCGGGGTTTCAAACCCACAAAGGTGAAGTTCAAATAGGTAATATATTTTCTATCAGCTGGACAATATTAACAGAGATTGCCTGTAGAAGGAACTCTGGTGTCCAGGTCTAAAAACTTTTGACTACATAAAGCAGCACAGTATAGCTACATAACACCCAATCTTTGACCTTGAAAACAATTTCCCATTCACATATTGAGAAGTCCAACACTTGATGTGGCCTTTCTTGAACTCTTCAAAAACGAGTTTGTTTAATGCTAAAGGATCATGTTTAAACTCCACAGCAGGCAGGTGTGACACCATGAGGTGCAAAGTGCAAAGTATACACACACACACACACACACACAGACAAATACATTCCTCCTGCTCCTGTGACAATGATTTCACTATTGAACAACTTGGTCTGGTACCGACAAATTTCAGATCAAAATTTTAGACAGTAGAAACTCTGAAGCAGTGCAGATAAAAATATTCATCTGGCTTAACCTAGCCACAGAGATGTATCAGCTTATGTGAGAGAAGACATCTTCTCCAGCCAAAAAGATTGGTGTGGCTGCAGCAAGAAGAAAAGAGAATAATGTAGAGAAATTTCCCTATAATGTCAGTGATCAGAATAATAAAAAGTAGGTTTGGTTTGGTTTTTTGTTTTGTCGGTTGTGGGGCTTGAACTCTGGGCCTGGGCACTGTCCTTGAGCTCTTTAGCTCAAGGCTAGTGCTCTACCACTTGTGCCACAGTGCCACGTCCAGTCTTCTGGTGGTTAATTGGAGATAAGAGTCTCACAGATCTTGTCCAGGCTGGCTTTGAGCCAAGATCCTCAGATCTCAGCCTGAGTAGCTAGGATTACAGGCGTCAGCCACTGTTGCCTGGTGAAAAAGTTTTTTTTTTAAGTCAAGGATAGAAAGACAACCTGAGGGGCTGGGAAGGTGGCTCAGCGGTAGAGTGCTTGCCTCGCATGCATGAGGCTCTGGGTTCGATTCCTCAGTACCACATAAAGAGAAAAGGCTGGAAGTGGCACTGTGGCTCAAGGGGTAGAGTGCTAGCCTTTAGCTGAAGAGCTGAGGGACAGTGCCCAGGCCCAGAGTTTTAAGCCCCACGACAACAACAACAACAAAAATA